AAACAGCATCACATTCTGTGCTTTAAAATTTGACCAGAGCCTAAAAATATAAAAAAAATAAATAAAATAAAATACAATAAAATAAAATTTGACCAGAGCATAGCTTACTTTTTGAAAAAGCCTATTCACTTAAAAACAAGTTAGCATCCTGCTTCAATAATCCAAATTAGTTTAACACACTTCAGTGACATTATTTTGGCATTTTTCACAATCACTAAAGGTAACTCACTTTTCTCTGTAGACTGTAGGGTCAAAAGCAAATTAAATCAATGGATTGTCTTCCTTTGCTCTCTCAGATGAGCCAGAAGTTATCAGTCAAATGTGCACATGACCTTTCTGCTTAAGCTTAAAAACCCAAGCAACCTGTTGGGAAGACATTTGGCCAATCTGATTATTTTTTCTATACTAATTGGTTTTATTTCTTCATTGAATTGAATGAATTGCCTGGTTGTTTTGTCACTGTGGGGACAGAGCATAATCCACTTAGAGTGAGAGCTTGTGCTTGGCAGAGTACAGAGCTGTAGAAATGTTTATCATCGTTACTCGTACATGGTGTTTTTTGGTACCAGGGATCGAATTCAGGACCTTGCACTTTCGAAGCAGGCATGGGAACCACTGAGCTAAATTCCAGGCCCCTACATGGTGATTTTTAATGGGGTAAGAATAACAATATAGGATCTGTCCACTTTCTCCATTTCCACTTCCACTGCCCTGCTGAGTCATCCGGTCTGGCCCCCAGAGAGCCGGCTAACCTAGTACCTGGTTGGCCCAGCCCAACTCCCTTCCCCCTCCGAGTTAGTCCCCAGGAGCTGGCAGCACGCAGCTTTTAACCACAGAGGCACCACTTCCCCCGCTGACAACATGGGCTCCTTCCCAAAGAGCGTGGAACAGAATGTGAGCTCTTGAGCGCGGCCTCTTGTACCTCATGAGAACTGAGTGCCTGTCCACTCCCTCACCCTCATCCTGCACCTGCCCCTCTGCTACAGCCCTTCCTCCCACGCTGGTCTTGTTCTACCCCCCTAGGCCCCCAAGCTCCCTCCCACCTTGGGCCTCCACGTGTGTCCCTCCTTCTTCTGGAACGTCTTTGGTGGACTGATTTTCGTCCTGAAGATCTCATTCTGTGTCTCCCTTCGAGAGGGCTCTCTCAACTACATAAGGCAGTCTTCCTCTATTCCTCCCTGCAGGGTGCCCCTATTTATTGTTACTCTGCAATATTCTCCCCCTTTTTTGCTAGGTTCTTTTGTCACCTCCTGTATCTTGTTCTTCTGTAACACTGTAATATCCCACCCTCTGCATGTTTCTTCATGACCCGGGCATGTCTAAAACTCTCTTCTGTGTCTGCTTCATTGTCTTTCTCTTCCTCTGTTACAACAGAAGCACTTAAGAGGCAGGGCCACATTGGATTTGTTCTTTTCCAGTTCCTCAGGGCTGAGCATGGTGCCTGGGTCACTGAAGAGGCCCAGGTCATATTTGTTGAGTGAATGAGTGGAATACCAAAAACCCAATTCTCTATCTTTAGACAGCCCCAGGACACAGGTGGGTCCCTCAAGATCGTACTCGAGGGAAACCTTTGCTTTCTTTCCCAAACCATGGTACTTTTCTATAAATTTTCAAAGTTGATTTTCTCAGGATTAGTGTACTTGGTAATTCAGTAGCCTACCGATTGTGATTGGAGAAGCAAACCAGACACAGTGGCTCATACTTGTGATCCCAGCAGGATTTCAAGTTCAAGGCCAGTCTGGGCAACCTAGCCAGATCCTGTCTCAAAAGCTAAAAAAGACTAGGGATGTAGCTCCCCAGAGTAAGCATGAGGCCCTAGGTTCAGACCCAGTACCACAAGGAGAGAGAGAGAGAGAGAGAGAGAGAGAGAGAGAGATTGTGTTTTGTTTTTTTTTGTTGTTGTTGGTTCAAGATAAAAGTTGGAACACATCCATATATCTCCACTTTTAGAAACCTGGGTGGGGTTGAGAAATGGATGGGTTTGCCATACACACAGGGGAAAATGACCGGAAGGAGAAATGATGCCTTCCCAGTGGAGGCTGACATGCAGGGGCTGAGCAGTAACTGATTTAGCTGACCACAAGAATTTAATCCTGATCTTAACAATGCGGACTGCCCCCCCAAAACTCAGAAATTCATGGCACCAGGTAGGACTGAAAAGAAGAAAAATTTTTGAGACTAAGGAGCAAGCAGACCCCAAATCCCCACCCACCCTTCCTTCAAAGAGCCTTGTTATTTTCCTCTTTCCCCACTCTGAAGACCTGTGCTTTCGCCCCTGAGGAGCATACAAAATGCCGGGGGACACAGGGCACAATCAGTCTAGTAGGCGATGAGGGGACTCCATTGAAAATGGGGGTGGAGGTAATTCAGTGATTAACTTTGCATGTGGATCTCCCAACTCTCTTCTCCAATTTTGACCCCAGAATGCTGGCAGCCAGTGTGACATTTCCTAAGCAGAGGTCTGAGACCCTTTCTTGTAGAAGTTGACCTCGACACATGGAAGACACAAAGATGATTCTTATAGGGTTTCCAACTTTGACAAGGCAACTAGATGACCCTGTAGTGAGGTCCATGGTTGAGAAGCTGGGTCAGATTGGCTTCTTATGCCCATTTCTCAAACATGGGTAGATGTTTACAATGGCCTCGCCCTTCAGGAAAGCTTTTAACATGAAGAGGGAGACTTCAACAGCAACCAACCATTATTTGAATTGAGAGAGAGAGAGAGAGAGAAAAAAGAGGATAAAGAGTAGAATGAAAAAAGAAAAGAAAGGACTCTTAGAAAAATTATTAGAAATTAAAAACATGAATAGGAATAGAAGTTCATGCATTAGAATTTAAAGATGAGGGAGTTCTCCCATAAGTAAAACAAGAAGACAAAGAAATATAAAATAGAAAAGAAAAGAGAAAGATTATACCAGGAGGTAAAATAACCGAATAAAAATATTTATATAAAGAGAGAAAAGACAAAAGGGAAATCAAAGAAATGATGCATAAGATCAAGAGATCTATTGTACTACATGGTGACTTTAGTTAAAAATAATATATTGTATTCTTGAAGATTTCTGAGGATAGATTTTGTGTTTTCACTCCTCTCTGCACCTAAAAAAGATAATTATGTGAAGTAATGCATATGTTAATAGACTTTGTTAGTCTTTCCACAGTGTGTACATATTTATAAATGACGCATTGTGCACGCTCTTTAACAAGCATATTTTTCTAAAACTGAAGAATGTGATTCAGATTGAAAAAACCCACTGGGTGCCAGGTACTGCCTGAAGACAGACCCAGGATCATGGTGACACCAAGGACAAAGAAGAGCCTCAGAGTTTTCAGAGAAGGAGAAACAAAAGGATCCTCCAGAGGAACACGAGTCCTTAATCATATGTACTTCAGGCTCCTTAACCACCAGAACTGGACAGAGCAGCATCTTTGGTTTGAGAGAAAAATGATTTCCAATTAGAAACCTTATTATACCCAGCTGGGCTGCAGGTTACAGTCTAAACAACTGTACCTAATGTGCCCTTTCTCATGAAGCTACCAGAGGTTTTGTGTTAAGAATGCAAGAGAACAGATCAAGTAAAAGGAAGCTGTGGAAGTCTAGGGACCAGAAAGAGGTGAAGAGAACTCCCACTGTCCTGGAGAAGGGGGTTCCCAGGGCATAGCCAGGCACTGGGGGGTCAAGTGAGCCATGGCCTGCTTGGGAGAAGCTAAGAAGTTTCCTTCCCTCCTCCTCCTCTCCCCTTTTTAGAACAAGAAAAAGAACACACAAGATTTATTACATGCCTAAGACATGGGAGGTTTAGACTCTCAAGAGAGATATTTCTAAGGAATGAAATGAAACCTTAGTTGGGGAGGAGGTTGATGGATGATTTTAGTCAATAAATGTATAGAGAGCCTTAGCTTCAAGGAAAATAATTTTGATAAGAAAGACAATGCAATCATAGTATACTTCATAGCTCAGTTGTGAAAGTTATGTTCCTAAATGTAATGTGAACTTTGAATATTCACCCAAACAGTGTGTGACTTTGGAATGGCATGGCTGTTCAGAGGGCAGAGGTGTGAGAGACCAGACTAAAAGCAAACTGAGAAGGAATACTATAAGCCAGAGGTGACAAACCTATGGAATGTGTGCCACAGTGGGGTGTCTGATATCACTGAAAGTTCTAAAAGGTTTGCCATCACTGCTATAAGCACACCATGAGAAGTACAGGAGACAAATACCAAAAAGAATCCAAAGTGGGAAAAGATGGCTAGGTGGCCAGGGATTTCTGGATTTCTTAATATGTAGAAAAGTTTGACTTGTCAAACTCTTAAGTATGTAATTTAAAAGTGGGTCCAATGCCTCTAATGATGCAGGTGTTCTAGAATGTTTTTCTCAGCTTATCTCATGAGGTAATCTACCCTCTCTGAAATTCTGTGTCCTTTTGACCTGTATCCTGGGTATCTAGGAGAAAACAGAGGAAAGAGTAAAGGTAAGGGACCAGGGGATGGCAGTTGTGAGAGAGGCTGTTTTGTGGATATTGTCAAGCCCCCACCATGAACAGCCATAGTGACCACCACTGCAAAACATCAGCGTCACAAATGCTAGCCTCATCTCCTGCTGCCCAGGGCTTCAGTGGGGCCAAGACACAGTGTCTCCAGGGTGCTACACACATGATCTAGGGTGAAGTTTCTACCTCAGCCACCTGGTATCACAGCCAGAGAATCAGGGGTGATCTAAAACCAACCCAAACAAACATGACCAGGGAGATGATTCTAATGAAAAAATGATGCATAAAGTATCACTTACAATATATGTAATTTGGGGATTTTTCTACTTTGTGAATTGGGTTCTTGTTTCTCAGCTGAAATGAAGACTATTTGATCACCAGTAAATTGGTTAGAGGTAAATTGAGTTCTTGTGCACACTGTGTGGGGTGAAGGCTAATGAGCTTGAAGATGACCGTGAACACATGGACGACCTCTTAGGAAATTATCCTTTGTTCATTTTATAATTCTAGGTGTACATGAACATGTCTCCCCTTCTTCAGGTCTGAATCTCCAAGGAGCACCTTCTTGTGTCACCTCGCAATTGTCTCTTGGTCTGGGGGATGAAGAGAAGAAGGAAGAGGCCTGCAGACAAACCTCAGAAACTGTCTCTCCTGTGACAAGTTCAGGGACCATCAGGGACACAGATACATCTACCAGAGAGGTGGGAATTATAATGTTGAGCTGCTGCTATTTGTCCCCTTTCTAGATTTTTGGTTCTCTTTTTCTTGTTGCCATTGTCCAATGTGGCAAAACTTGCAACCTACTGGAGCTTCCCGGGACAAAAAAATCCACTCTACAAAATGCCTTCTGAATTGAAAAATTGGGCAACTTTGATTTGTGAAACTGTTGGTATGATTTTTTGAAAAGCCTAAGTACATTATTAATTCATACCTGAAGAGAGATGCTACCATTCTTCAGATCTTACTGCAACATGCAACATGACATCTCCCCCAGGCAGATCATGGGGCTGCATGTAGAAAACCACACAATACTGATCCAGACCACACTTTGATGCTGATCTGGAAAACTCTTCAATATCCAGTGCAATAAATTGTACATCAACTGTTTGAGTGGTAGTGATTGAAAATAGGAAGCTTAGGGCTGGTTGGATAATTGAGTGGCTTTATTTTTTAATAAAGCCAGATAAAAACACATGGCAATGTCAGCAAACTATTTGGTATCAATAACAAGCTTTTCTCAAGCTAATGCACCAATTAGTTATTAATGGAAACTTATTGAGGGTATCATATTGAAGTTCACGCTCAGTAAAAATCACGAAGACCTCAAGATCTTGTTTTCATTGAGACCCCATTTCAGACCACATTTTTCCTTGTACCAATTAACCTTTTCCCCCCTATTTCTTTTCCTTTGTACTTTATCGCAGGCTATTTCTCCACCTGCTGGTGAGCCTGGTGACTGTTCTCCTCAGGAGGACACTGATGTGCTACCAGGATTATCTCTGCAATCAGACACCTGCTTGGCAGTGGCTGAGGATAACTCTTTGCCCACTGGGAAAGGTCTTGATGTTGGATTGCTGGAAACTCACCTGCTGCCCTCCCAGGATCAAGACTCGATAGATCCCAAATCACGCATTTTCTCAGATGCTCAAGAGCCTTCTTCTTCTGGACCCAAAGAAACTTCCCCCTGCCACGACGCTACCTCTGTAGCCGCCATTTGTATTTCGCTAGGAGTAAGAGCTGGTCACACAAGGCTGGGAGTTCACAGCTCAGAGGCACGTGAACACAACTGGGCTGCAGGGGGGACTCCAGCACAGAGCTTCCCACATGGAAGAGCCACGGCAGAGGGCACTTCACAGACACTCTTGCCGGGGAAACCTTCATCTGGACAAGCAATTTCAGGTTTGGGTCCACTGGACTCAACTGGGAAAACTCATCTTGAAATACCAACTTTAGGACCAAGTTCAACAAGTTCATACCAAGAAGAAGGGAAGCAGCTGGCAGTTTTTCCTTCCAGGGCCCAGTACGGGAGTGGAGAAATGGCCGCCCCCTCCCCTCCTGCAGGAAGTCACGGTGGGAAAAGTCAAGCATCCGGATCAATCATTCTGAAGGCTTGCGTGGCCCCTTCTAAACCAGGGCGGCCTCCAGAAGTCCCTGAAGCCCCGTCTAAATCCATCAGGAAGAGGAGTTTGGAAGGGATGAGAAAGCAGACTCGGGTGGAGCTGAGTGACACCAGCAGCGATGATGAAGACCGACTGGTCATAGAAATATGACACTTCTGGCGAAAGATGACATCTATGATCACGGACTGTTGATGCTTCGCAAGTAAGTGTCACCAGCTGATAGACTCCCTGAACTCTATTTATGAAACACCCGTGGATCAGGAAAGCCATTTTGTGTTCCTTGGAAGCCAAATCCAACCAACTCCAAACCTCCAATTCGGCCACACCCTTTCCTGGCTCCTCTGGGCCTGGTTGCTTTCACCTGATGCACGTGGGACAAAGGTGGCCCATGAAGCACATTTGAAGACATGTACACTGAACACAGTGACTGGGCCTTGACTTGCAGCCCCGTGCTCAGCATCAGCCCCCCGGATGACCTCACTCAGGTAGCATGGCATTAGCAGAGAGAGCCACAGCGACATGTTTGCTGACAAGCAGACTCCGCTGAGCAGCGCAACGGACTTCTCCATGAGTGGGCTGAGGGTTTGCTTCCAAGTGGGAAGCATGCTTGGGATTATTGGGGTAGTTTGAAAGAAAGATGGGGTGTGTGAATTGAGCCTGAAGATATTTCTGTTCATTCTGGAGACAAAATTCAGAATCATTAAAAAACTGGTTTGGTTGGAGTAATCCTCTCCTGAGTTGAAGTTGTAAATACGTCTCAAAACGCCTATTTGGTGACATGCTGATATTTTTTAAGTGTTGCACAAATGGCCAATGCTCGTGTATGGTCAAATACCACAAGCACGTACTGTCCCATACCTGGTGCTGGTTCTGTGAGACCCTTGAGGCCATTGGTTTTGTTTTGTTTTTTTAACTCTTGCAAAAGGACGCTGTGTTAAAAGTCAATAGAACAGTCTCTCTGTAATGAGTCATTTTTTGGGGGGGAAAAACTCACTTATTTTCCTCTGATTCTTTTTGTCATATTGTGCTCTGAGCGATTTCAATTAGGGGTTACGTTTTGTAATCTGTGTAGCTTGAATTGATGCCTGCTCCTCGTGACGGGAGCCTTTTAGACTTCCTCCAGAAGCTTCAAGGATACAAAACTAATTGGAGTTTTGACGCTGTTTTCCATCTCGGTAATTTTATTTTGGGGGCTTGGTGTTACTTCGCTGTCAAATTAAATCAGCCTCTGTATTGTGCAAATCGGAACAGCACAGATAAAATTCCTCAGTATTGCAAGCCAGTGCACCCCTGTGCTGAGGAAAATAGCAGATCTACGTCAGCCGGCCCACTGAGCTGAGCCTCAGATTTCCTGCCTTCCTCTCCCTCTCCTTAAATGGGAAAGGAAAAAGTTATACAAGTTTATACTGCTGCATTTCAATAAAATTTTGTACTTGCTTTTGGTATGATTTTGTACAATTTGAAATTTATAGCCAAGCTCTTTTGGCTTAACTTTGGTGTGATGTTGTTCACACGACTTCTTGTACTTCAAAGGCAAGGCGGCAATGCAAAACCTCTCACACATCTGAAAATACTTTAATAAGTCCTTCCTGTGACTAAGTATGGTCCAGCTTCCATCTCTTCATGTGAATTTTACAATTTTTGGTGTTATTCATAGAAAACTTCAATGCAAGACCAGCTTCCCCCAGTTACTTAGTATGTCTGTGGTCATTTCATGCACACTCATAAATATCCTAGCTAATAACAACATAAAAAGGGAGGTGAAAAGAACGTTCGACACAAACTTGGTATACTTTTAAAACCAAACAAAACCAAGCTGTGATTCTTTACCCTTTGAAAGATCTACACCACTGTAATGAGAGAGGCAGAGTAGGGAAGCAGCCTGAGACCCAGAGGGAGACAGCAGCAACTCTGGCTGCCTCAACCTGGGAAATCATAGGGAAGACTGTCCCTGTACCCCAGTTTCCTTAAATAAGAAAGAGTTGAGCATGCTGAGCTGAATGAAAGTCTCCCCGGGTTCCAATCCTGGTGAGAGTTTATGACAGAGAAGGTGCCCTTCCATTTAAATATACAGCTTCCTTGGCTTGGAGATGTTCCCCAGGGGAAAACATTGCCCAGGGTTATTGCATGGGGGAAATTTGGGTGGGGATTGTGAAGAACTGAAACACAGCCACCTTCAGGGAACTACTGCTATGCAGAATGCGAGCTTAATGAAGCTCCATCTAATTTTTCTCCAGAGTCCCAGACATTGGGGTGCAGTCAGACAGCTTATAAATGTTGGCTCACAATTCAAAAAGTAAAAAGCAAAACCAGAACACTAATCTGTGAGTGGAAGGAAACATATCTATACGTTGACTTGGCTATTTTTTCTTGGGAGACACTGGTCAGGGTAGAAAACAATCCTCCAGATCCTTCTATCCTGAATTGTCAACAGGATCATTGAACCCAAATCAGTAAGTCACAGCTCTAAATAACTCTGACTCGGGGTAGCCCTGGAAACTGTGTCGTCCTATGAGCCACCAGGGCTGGATGCCATAGCTGAACCTTGAACCAACATGGCAGAATGTTGATTACATCTCCTTAACAACCTTTGTCGCTTAGGCAGTTTGTAGCCTGTTTCACCTGTCCATTTAGCTACTACGTGGCAGTGTCCCCAAGTGTAACTTACTTTATATGAACAAGAATTTGTGACAAGCTATATTTCAAAGGATTTTTTTAAAAATAATTGACCCTAGGGGAGCTGGCTGGGGAAGGTATCCCAAAGTAAAATTTTTTTTTCCAAAGTAAAATTTTTGTTTGTTTTTTGTTGTGGGTTTTTTGTTTGTTCTGCTTTGTTTTTTGGATAGGGTCTAGCTAAGCCCAGGGCTGGGATTGAATTCATAATCCTCCAGTCTCAGCCTCCCTAGTAGCTAGGATTACAGAAGTATGGTCCTGGGTAAGATTAATTTTTCCAGTGGAGAATTCTTTTGTAAAGCAACAATCTCTGATTTTTATAAACCTAATTTTCCTATGGGTTTTCTTAAAGTGAAATGCAATTATAGGAATACATTTGAAGGGTAACACCAGCAACCCACAACCCAATTTGAGTTATGGAAAATAAAATTTCAGTATTATCAATTGTTAATTAATTACTGCAGTTTTACCTGCTACAAGTGCATATTGTGTGATGGTTAAGGGAAAAGAAATTTTATTTTAGAACAAGGCAAGCCAGAATTTAAAGACCAGAGATTTTCTCTTTTCCCAGTGCTGTTAATTTTATTGTCTTTTCAGCTAAGGCTCTTCACTAACTGGTGCCTCAGCTTCCTATGGAGAATAGCGCTAGGGATGTGGACATAGACTGTAGTGAAGGACCCTTTGGCTTCTTTGCCATGCTCTCAAGGCATGGTAGGCAATACCAAGGCTGGCCACTGGTTCGTCTCTTTAATTCTACCTATGCCTGGCCTCATCTCACATAAGATGTGTGGAGGAGAGCGCTCTCGCCTCCTCCCCTAGCAACATAAACTATTAACTGACTCTTAAAGTCATGCGGGTTTTGTGGGCAACCTGGTCCACCTTGTTTCAAAGCGTGATGAAGAACAGCTCACCCTTCCTGTTAGATATAATCTTTGGAATTCTAGATAAAACTAATATTCCCTTGGTTCATACCTCCCAGCAACCAGGAGAAACTGTGATTCATTTGCTAAGTCATCCAAACGATGGGTGGAGTGTTTCTGGTTTCACATGAAAACATGGCCAATTGCTTGGTGAGCAACCTAGAGCAAGCTAGACTTTCCCTTCCTAAAATCGCCCTTCCAAAGCTGAGATTGGAAGAGTAGCCTTGCAAAGTGCATTGTGACCACTATCCTGGGCATGAAAGATAAATTATTTGCAGCCTCATGCTAAAAAGTATTTCCTTGCATTTACATTCTTTACTTAGGAGGATAACATTATTCATTTTTCCCCCAGCATAGAAATTTGCATTTTACACAAGATTCGCCTGGTGCAGCAGATTTTTATAGTTATGGAAACTGTCATCATTATGGAAATGTGCTGCTGCTCAACTCCTCAGACATAATTTAATATGGGGAGGAGAAAATGGCCTGCCTGGCTCTATGGATGATCATATTTCTACTACTATAGCAAGCAGAGCTTGGGTATTTTTCTGCACACTAGTTGTTATTCCCATAGTTTGTGTGAGAGAGACATTTTGGCTTTTGAGACACTACATTTCTCCATCTTTAAGCACAATTTCTTGTCTTTATCTTTCAGAACTCATTAAATATTGGTGTCAAGATATAGAAAATCTGGTGTGCTAGATCTACCTTGTATGATTCTTTTCACCCATGCTTTGTACTTATGTGAGAATATACATAGTTTGGTCTGAAGAAGTATAAGAACATTTGAAGACATTACTTCACCATTGGAAGAAATGGAGACAGGAAAAATCATCAGCTGCTGTCACTTGGAGCTCTTGAGGGTGACTTACTCTCTCACATATGCAGTCAACTGTCAGGACTCACTACTCACTGCTTGTTCATAATCAGGGAAGCAATTGGCTTCTTGGCTGTTTGTTGAAATTTACTTCTTTATGTGGTTAAACTATTTTGTTTTGATAAAAATAAAACTTAGAGTAAAAATAACTTGTGTGACTTGTTAACATTTTAACTGAACAAACAATATCTTGTAAAATTTGGGTATCTGATTATTCCTAACTAGCTTACCAGACAACCCGTCCACTATGTTGGTATCCCATTCTGCTCAACAAAAGGATTAGGAAATAGTGAATTATCACATTTTCTTGAGCTGTTTCTTTTTCTCATGTGCTTTGTTTGTCATTATCTTTCATATTTTATAGTTTGTAGCATAGAAATGTGTTTTTAAATTCTTAAAATGAAGCTAAACTTTGAATCCACATGAGGGGACTATCCACAGTGCAGTAATCCAAAACTTTCCCCCTTGAAGTTGAGGTTTCTTGAGTATTTAATATTATTCATCAACAGAGAAAATGTCCTTACCAAAATTGTACCTCCTTATGACGATAACTCATGTATTCTTTGCAAGAACAAGTAGACTTATTTTACGACCCAACACAGTATTCCTCTTCTTGAAGACACTTGAAGTCAATAGGAGCATGATGTACTGGAAGAAAAAATGGGAATGAGAACTTGAAAGGAACGGATATACTAATTGATGCCTTGTAATTGCTTTGTTCCTAACTCATCAAACTCTAATAGTAATAATTTAATCCAAACATCAGTCATTGGAAGAACATCTTACTGCTTTTTGCCATGCATACCATGTTTTCCCTCAAAATAAGACTGGGTCTTATATTAATTCTTGCTCCAAAAGATGCAAATAGGCCTTATTTTCATGTATAACAATCTATATTCATGTCATGTCATCTTCTGGAACATCATCATAACTCTCCAAACCTTGAATTCTAGACTGGATTCCTTGTGACTCCATTCCCTGTAGAACCACTGGCCCCATCTCTCGTGTCTGGCCATAGATAACTCCTTAAATGAGCACTTCTTGTCCATGTAGCCTCATAGTGCATTGGTGACACAGCTGTCAGTGACTTCCTACCACGAATTCTTCACCCAAGTTATGCCCTCTTGCAGGCTGGCTTCACAAAGTTTCATTAAATCAAGTGTTAATTGAAAACTTACAAGACAGGAGTCGCAACAAGAATGGTGAAAGTTAAGAATGATGGCCCACACGAATGTGACAAATAATCCCAGGCACCA